AGCGTTACAGTCTAAAGACTGCCACTGGCATTCTGAATTCCATTCTACCACTAAGTTATTTGAACATCCATTCACTCATCCATAAAAGGCATGAATCTGATTTGATTGCAGGTTGAGCATCCTCAATGTAAAAGTCCAAAGATCAAAAGTAATCAAAATCCAACCTTTTGATGACCAACAGAAAGCCAGGAGTAGAAAGTTCTACACCTGACCTCACAGGCTGAGTTGCAACCCAAATGAAGTAAACTAAAATATTGAATAAAATTAACTTCAGGCTATATGTAAAATATATATCAGATATGAATGATGAGATATTTTGGGAATGGGACTCATCATACTGGCTCTAATGTGTTGGACTATTCTCTATGGGAGCCACATCTCTTTCCTCTTACTTGGACCTTTTATTTAAAAATAAAATAGTGGAAAAATGACAATAATAATGCTAGATGATAATCATAATGTATCACTTTTTCATTTGTCTAAATATCACTAAGCATGACCATTATTTTTAGTGCAGCATGGAAGCAAAATAAACCCTCACAGCACCTTACCAATGGCATCCTTATATCTGAAAAGGGGAATGAGTTGGGCATACACTCAGAAGGCCTGCACATGTCTACATTGTGGAACTGCCTGGCTGACTTTTGACCTGACTAAGCATTATTTGAAGCAGCTTACTGACGCTGCCAATAACATCACACATAATAGAACACACATCTTGTAACTGAGCCACAAATGGTGCTGAGCAACATAAAGACTCCATGCTTAAAATGTAAACCAGTGCAATAGAATAGCTACTGAAAGATTTCCCGAGACCCACACAGATTGCCTGCTATACATGTAAAAGCCACATTTTAGGATTCTTTAATATCTACTGTTATGATCTTGCTTTTAAAGAGCCTCAATAATTTCTCAAGACACCACATTTAACAAAAGACCGCATCTATTTCTCTCAATAAGGATTTGGCCTAATATAACAGGATATGTTTAGGGCATAGAAATAAAGAGTACTTTCCAGAGATTGGATAAAAGAGAAAGACGGCCTTTTAGAATTAGTAGGTACCACTCTAATCTGAGGCTTGTACTGTCCTTTTCAATCCTAGCAGAGAAACAATTAATAAAGGAACCCATTAAGACCTGATTATTGCTGCTAAAAAAGGAAGGTAGAATTTCAGCCCTTTGAAGTAACTGAGAATGATTCAGGCCTCATTACAGAGATATAATCTACATTCATACATTTATGTTAGTGATTCAAATCTATTGGGAGAGATTGAATTCCGTTAAATAGTGCATCTTTCCTGCGGAACTTTTCTCAGGCTTTCTCGGGCTAATCTAGGAGGTGACCTAACAATGCAAAGTAGGAGGGTATTTAGGGATTCAACTGTGCTATAAAAGAAAGGCTGTACCGAAGAGAGAAAAGAAGAATGCGATATAATCTAAAAAGCTATGTCAGCTTTTCCTTTGGGCTGTATTGTAAATGCCCTTCCTGTCATCACACTGTACAGAAGAGCAGCGAAATGGACCTCAGACTTTCAAACACTGCACCTGCTGCAGCCAGATATTCATGTGGAAGTTTTGAAGATGTCTTTTCCCCATTTTAGACAGAATAAAAATAAAACTCCTAGTTAAAGGCTGACAGAACTGAATAATGTCAAGTAGGGCAGAAAGCGATTAGAAGTGTGTGAGAAAGAGAGAGAGGAGAGAGGAGAGCACGAGAGAGACAGGGTGGGAAAAGGAGAGGAGAGGGAGAAAGAGGAGAGAATGGCAAGCGAGGATGTCTGGTGTGAGTTATTTAAAAAGAAAAACCCTCAAGATGGCATCAATAGTGTTGGTTCCCAGTGCAGAGAAACCCCAAAATAATAACTTCCTGTGTTTTGTAACTTTTCACAACAGAATCTTTATTGTATGGTTTCATCAACTATATTTTTTCAAAAAAATAACATGTAGTTTTAATTACTTGTCAATTCAAACATTGGGAGTTTTCTAAACTATTAGGCAAATTCAAATCCCTGACAATACTCTCTTTCAGGCATTGGTCTACTCAGGTATAAAACTGTGAACTAGGAAATTGAAATTAGCACTGTGGGTTCATTATTCAATATCCATGCTTTAATTAAAGAAGGAAGAATTTCTTTGACGTATGTTCTTTATTTGCTTAACTTTCCAATTAATAGCTACAAAAATAAGAGTTAATTATATTAAACTTAGAAATCTACTGTGATGTTCACCACATTGTTGAAATCTTTTGAATAAGCATTGCAAGGATTTATAAATAATGCAATTAAACATCTGATTCTGGCACTAACTGGTTTTGTTTCAAAAGCTCTAAACGTAAAGGAAACTATAAGAGTGCATGTAACGCCATTTTTTAAATCACTAAGCAATATGGTTGGGTACTCATTCTTAGTGCCCATCTCTAAGGCTACATTTCTAATTTCTTTGTGTTTTCTTCAGTTCACAATGAAGATTGAAACCAAATGCACGTTGTAGGGATTCTGGCTTGTGTATACAAGCTCTTCTGATTAGTTCCTTCCAAATTACAGTTGCAGTTGTTCAACTCCTAAGTTCACTTTGAAATGTTTCCATCTTAGATTGGCAGCCTATTATGTTGAACCATATGAAACTGCTACTTTTGAAGGTGGAAAGCAGTCAAATGCTGGCAATTTCATATGCCTCAACAAAACCCCAATGTCCAGCTGCCCAACATAAGATGTCAATGCACGTTCAGTAGTCCTTTCCAGCCAGACTGTGACTAGCTGGAAGTGTAATTTTAAGAAGTCATCTCTTAGGAACCCTGTCTTACTCAGCTTGGAGTGGGTTGCCAGTGTTTTAGCGTTTGTTGTTTGTTTGTTTGTTTTTCTTTATGACTTTTAACTCCAAAGACTTCCTAGGCTTGGACTCGGGTCTCTCATCTGGGATGTGAGCTAGTGACTGAGAGCAATAGGGAAGTTGGGAAGATTGTGTGGGGGAAGAGCGAAGGCAACTGGTCATGTAGTTGCATTGTAAAAACAGGGACTTTTAAAGAGTCAGTCTGAAGATGGAGAAAAAAACGCCCCTTGATAGTAAAGTGCAAGAGGAAATTGCATGGAAAAGAAAACAGACAGCCGAGCATGGAGCCAAATCGTATAGTAAACTCCGCGATCTCAATAAAGCGCGTTGGCTTTGAAGTGCACGCGTGATTCAGGGGAGGGCTCATGTTAGCAATTAGAAATCGGTCGTTTGGGGGACCCCGATTTCATTTGCGCCGCGAGAGAGGCAACGTTAAAGGGTGACGATAAATCTCCCTGAGCTTAAAAGGCAGAGAAGGCCAAAGTGTGAACTTTTTACTTCAGCAACGGAAGCGAGAAATCAGTGATTCATTAAAGCAGGAGACCTCCTTGCTCGCCGAGAGCAGAGGGAAGGCAAGCTAACGATGCCTCCTTTTTTCGCCTCTGCTCCTGCCTACCGCTTTATCATCTGCGGCTTTGAGACAGTGTATCCCGGCGTCTGCTGTGTTCTGTGCAGCCCTTTCCCACTGCGGGGAACGAGAGAAAAAGGAAAGGAAAGGCGCGCGCCAGCCTCCAGCTTTCCCCCCCGTGTAACTTGTAACTTTACAGCCAAACGTGGGGTGAGAAATCACAAGGAAGAAATCCTGCGCTAGGAAGCCAGTGGGAAAGGCCAGGGGGCTCCCCCAGGGGGAGCGGTCGGGGCTGGAAGACGGCACCCCTCGGAGGGCGCGCGGGGCACCGGCCGCTCGCGCCGGCGGTCGGCTCGGCGAGCGCCGGACGCTGGAGCCGCAATTAGTCCGAGGCGGCCTTGGGCGGCCGCTGCGCCCGCGGCGGCGGCCAGGCGGGACCCGCGGGCCCCCGGCTCCCGGCGAAGGCAGCGCGCACTCAGCCCGCTCGCTCGCTCGCTCCCCGGCTTTGGCTCTCCTCCCCCCCACCCCTCCCCAACTCCCGGCCCCTTCCCTCCTCCTCCTCCTTCTCCCCGGCGTTCCCAGCAGCCGAGGGTTTCAGATGTCCCACCGCCGTTTGACCCCCCCCCCACCCCCACCCCTCCCACCTCATTCCCCCTCCTCCTCCCCCCCCCCCGCAGCTTCTCCACCCCCTGCAAATGAGGTTTGACCCGCAGAGGCAGAGCCCACCTCTGGCTGAGAATCACTGACATTTCGACTCCAGGCTTCAACCTGTTTACAAGCGGGTTTTCCAAAGCGAAGGAGGGTGGTGGTTGGGGGGCAGGGGGGTGGAGAGAGCCAAACAAAACATCAGCCGCCATCTACCACCCCCCCCCAAAATAAAAGAGGGGGAAAAAACACCCAAGAAGTGACTACGGCAGACTTCACATCAACAGGCAACACCACCACCAAAGAGAGAGCGAGAACGCGAGAGAGAGAGAGAGAGAGAGAGAGAGAGAGAGAGAGAGAGAGAGAGAAGAAAACAACCAGGCGCTGGGGGCAGAGAGCTTGCGGAGGAGAAGGGGCGCTCGGGCTGGGGGCTCCGCAGCGAAGGGGACCCCCCCACTCCACCACCCTCGAAAGTGCCCGCCGCAGAGGGGCGCAGCTATCCCCCCTCTACCCGACCTGCGGGTATTGTTCAACGCGCTGTCATCTGTTTTTGAGACTTTTCTTCCTTTTGCATCGAACATGGTGAAGAAAAGAGTGAAGAAAAGAACAAAGTAACTCCTGCGGGAGCGACCTCACGCGCCGGTGACCCACGCCACCCGCCGCCGCCACCCGCCGCTCCCGCGCCCACCCACGTCCACCAGCGTCCACGGGCAGACCCTTCCCGGGCAGAGGCGCGCGCGCAGTGGGTCCCCGAGCACCGAGCGGCAGGAAGAGGCAGCCGGCACTTTCCAAGGAGTTATGGATGTTGGTGTATTCACTTCTGGCCAGATACGTGCCCTGAGGGAGCTAACCAGCAGCCGCCACCTCCTCCAACGATCTCCTTGTCTTGCACCAGGTCTTACCCTTCCAGTATGTTCCTTCTGATGAGACAATCTCCAGTGCCCAGAGCTCCAGTACAATGTGGAAATGGATACTGACACATGGTGCCTCAGCCTTTCCCCACCTGCCCGGCTGCTGCTGCTGCTGCTTCTTGTTGCTCTTCTTGGTGTCTTCCTTCCCTGTCACCTGCCAAGCTCTTGCTCAGGACATGGTGTCACCGGAGGCCACCAACTCTTCTTCCTCTTCCTCCTCCTCTTCCTCCTCCTCCTCCTCCTCTTCCTCCTCCTCCTCCTCCTCTTCCTTCTCCTCTCCTTCCAGTGTGGGGAGGCATGTACGGAGCTACAATCATCTCCAAGGAGATGTCCGCTGGAGGAAATTATTCTCTTTCACCAAGTACTTTCTCAAGATTGAGAAGAACGGAAAGGTCAGCGGAACCAAGAAGGAGAACTGCCCGTACAGTAAGTAACGAACGCGCGCTCCCCTCCTTCCAATTATCCACCCCCACCCCATACGGGAGGGGGGGGGGAGAAATCGGTTCCAGATGTGGCCAGCTAAATATTTACGTCCCCAACCCCTGTAAAATGATTAAGTGGAATACTTTCACACTACATCACACTCCCCTCCCGTGTATACACGGTGCTGCAGCAGGCACCCCTGCCGGAGGCGAGTTCCTCCACACACACCCTTCCCCTGGCCACCCTAATCCAGCCCTGCTCTCGCCCCCTGGGTTGTCACTTGCCTGACCACGCAGGGCGCCCTAGAGTTGTGAGGGCACAGATGACCCTTTCCGTGCTCAGTACTTTCTTGCATCTCATTCCCCAGAAAAGTTCCCCTTCTCCCACCCGCCCCCTTCTGAAAATGGCTCAGGTAAACCTAGTATGACTCCTTCCTTTTGCAGTCTTTGGGACAGGCTCCTCGAGCTGAAAGTAATTCCTCCTCCACGTGCATCGTAGGGGCTTTATGGAGAAACCAAGAAGCCAAAGTCAAAAGTCTCTTCCACTGTCTCCCCTTCACCTCTCTAAATAGGAGCACAAGTTGTGTTTTGCTTTGCTTTTTTCCTGGTTTGGATGTTTTGGTTGTTGGTGTTGTTTCCTGGTCACGTCCCTCATGGTGCTCTGAGTGACTGCAGTCCATGAAGTTAGCTTTTCAGGCACCACTGCTGCTATTTGTCTTCTGCCTGCATTCTCTCTTGGTAACATGATGCTCATGTCTGCATTGTCAATAGCATCTGCGCTGCTTTGTGGTGTCCTGTTGTACTGTTTCTTCTGAAACCTCTCATATTGCACAGCCATACTACTACAGCATTGTAAACATCTGGGACTGGATTCACACAGACCTCACACAAATTTCATTGTCATTCTTTTATTTTCAAAGTAAAAGTCATAAGTCTGTTTCCATGGTTATAGCGGATCCCATAGTGTGAGGGTTTCCCCTCAGTATATAAATTCTGCCTGATATCCTTAGATTTCCTCCCTCCCTCCCTCCCTCCCTCCCTCCCTACCTCCCTCCCTCCCTCCCTCTCTCTCTCTCTCTCTCTCTTTCTTTCTTTCTTTTTCTGTCTTTCTTTCTGTCTGTCTTTTCTTCTGTCTTTCTTACAAGGGTGTGGACTGGAAAGGGAGAAGGAGAATGAGGAGAGAAGGGGTGGATATTGTGTCAGTTCTTGAATCAATCCAGCCAAGCCAGAGTATTCTGTTGGCTTCCTTTCCTAGCTACTTTCAAGTGGGAAGACTTATTCATTCTCTATTGATTGTTTTTGAAAGGATCTCAAGGCTATGTAATGGCACACTGAAGATGGTAGACAATGACATTTAAATGTTGTAAAAGACTATGTAGCTTTATCTCTTTGGTAAATTACAAGTCATCTTTCAAGGAACTTTTTTATGTTAGCACTTCAGGATTTCCAAGCATATTATGTTCCAGCTGACTTAACTATATGCACTGTATATTTCAAGATTCCTTAGCCTACAAAGAAATGGGTAGCAGTGAAAATTACACTTGACCAGACTCTTAGCATCTTATTTTTAAGTAAAGATTTACATAAATTAAATCTTAGCTTCTTGTTTGGGACTCACACGCATACAGCATTAACTTCTGTTTCTCCTTAGCTACTGCTTGTATTAGCTATAATTAGCAATAGTGTACAAGTAATACAAATATTTGTAGAAATATTTAGAGCATTCCATTTCAGTTTTAGTGTTAGATACATTAAACGCATTAAACACATTTAAGCAATATATATGCTCTGATACATAACATATATGTTATGTATATATATTTAAAACATCCACATTTCTCTATGTGTTTTTCACTTGGAATAACAAAATGTTGCAGAAATAATGTCATTAATAATTATTGATTTTGCTTGAAAGTCATGAGGTACTGAGTCTATGGTTTATAGTTTTCTGATTAAAATTTAGTGTTTTTGTTTACTTCTAAAACCAAATGGTATGGTGGAATTCAGTGTGTACCAAGAGAAGAACCTGTGGGCGGAGGGAGGTGGGAATGTATATGTATATTTTTTTCCTCATAGATTGGATGTTGTAGTTTTAGTTCATAGGTAAAACCCAAAGAAACATAACAGAATTTCATGATCACCTGGAGCTAACTTTCTTCTTTTTAAAACTTTTGATAATAACTTGATTTTTTCCACTGCTATATTTTAAGGATCTTTATGCTGTGATGTAATTATGAGCCTGAACTGTTCAGTTTATGCAAGTTAAATTACTATTTTCTAAAATAATGATCCCTGTGATTAATTACTTGGCCAAATGGTTTCCAGGAAATATGCTAAATTTTATTGGTACAATATGAACTATCTCAGAAAAGAAGTGTATACTTTTTTTCATCATCTAAACAAGTATGGCAAATTTCCATCCTAACTAATCAAAATATGCAAATGTTTCCACGTCATAAATTCCTTTTGGAAGTTACAAGCCAAACACATTTTACAGCAATTCAATCTTAATGAATGGTTAAAAATGAAAAGGAGAAGGCATTACACTGATAAGTTTTGTCAAACCACAACTCATATAAACTTTCCAAGAACATCAGTATCTGAATAACAAGTGAAAAGGTTGAATAAAACTTCATTTCACATGTGGCCCAGTAATTAGAATGCTGCTGTAATTTCCAGCTGGATTGATTCAGCTAAACTATGTGATATCATTAAGATAGTGTCTAAATGTTGCAAAATTACACGTGAACAAACCTTTGTCCTGCCTATAGGGTAGACAGCCAGTCAGCCCACCAATGGTAGCCTGTTCAGTATTAGGATATACCTTTGAAGAGTTGTCAACTCCTTGTCCCCTAAACATATTTCAGTAACATTTTCCTGAACAAATTATTAATTACTTTCAATATACAAAGCTGCTCTTCTGACATTTGCTTATTTGAAGATTAATTTTCATTGTTACTTTTGACCCTACTGTTATTGCTGTTAAAATACAGTAACAGCTTATCTAAGGAGTCATATGTTTGTGATGTCCTGGGTAATTAAACAACTGTTTTACAGGCTTTTTGCCAGTAAAGTACTAACAAAATGGAATTAGGGAAGGAAATCACCCATAAGTGTTGCAAAATCATTTTTAACTTATACCTCCAAAGCCAGTTCTAGAATTTGAATGGTTTTAATAATGCTACATATTGCTAAATAAGCTCTTCTCAGTTTGGATGATTATTATAGATACTTTTTAATGAAGGTGTATAATTTTTGCTTGTTCTTTGCCATTCAATGAGAGAAGAATAAGAGTAGAGCTTAATTTTGTTTCTCTTGTTAGAAGTCTGGGAAACCTTGAATAATTTAGAATAGCTGTGGTATATCTGTCACTAGATATGTGCAGGCTCATTTAGGTTTTGTTTTATCATTCTTTACATCTAGAACTTTGCCCTTGAAACATTACCACACAGCTCCAGTTCTGGTCTATCAAGGCTGGATACAGCTGTCGTACCCTTGCAACTGGAAATGGTTGACTTATTTGTAGATGTGAGTAAAACAGCTGCAAGCTTCCTCCATGGTTGTCACTTGAAGGGAAAAGGAATCTAATGAAAAGAAAACGTATCCTCAAACTTGAGACAACTTGAAGATGGATATTCCCAAAACAGATTCCCACAGCTTAATGTCTTTTCTGAGAAAAGAAGATGAGAGAGAATGCAGAAATCAATATGCACTGAGTATATGGTATGTGTCCTTTCTCTTTAAATAGACATCACATTGATACTCATAATAGTCCTCTGATTCTGATTGAACTATCCCCAAGTTTTCCAATATGAAAACAAAGACTGAAGAAAGTAAATTGCCTGTGGTCATTCAACTAAAATTTGACAGAACCAGAATTCTAATCTAATCTTCTCTGCTACTTTGAACAATAGAGCTATTCACCAGAAATCTCCTAATAATGGGTTGTCCAGAACCTTACTTGCTTTTTGCTGTGAGCATCAGTGGCTTTTAGAATTGAATTAGAAGTGTAACAGAAGCAAATCGGTTAAAAATTTTCATTGCAGATAATCACACCATTTCAGACACTGCTAGTACAGTATATCTCTCAGTGTTATGTTATGGGATGTATTTGCTTATGGACACACACAAAGTACATACATCAATCTCAGTTATGTTAACAGAGGTCATTAGGAATACATGACTATTTAAGAAAATCCATGAATGTCATTATATATAATAATTGTTTACAGCTGAGAGTCAAATGCTTAATTGTTCCCATGTGTAATAAAATAATTTGATTGTAAATACCTGTGGGAAGTTGGACTGTAGCAGAAACTTCTAATATATGACTTTAGAAAGGGTACTATCCTGGAGACTTAAAGCTATATTTATTAAGAATGCTTTAAAATGAGTCTGCAAATCAAAAAGGTACTTTACCCCATAAATCTGGCAGACTGCTGTCTAGGGCTAATGATTTTCATTATTACTTTTTAATCAGAGCTACAATGAACTCTAGGAAGTTAAAGTTAAAAATAATTGTTGAAGAAAATAGGGATTCTCAAGAGTCTTCTGGAAAGAAAACCTATAGACAATTTATGACTTTCCACTGGTGTCTTATTTAAAATTGTGGTTCTGTCTGGAATTTGGTTGTATAATTTATAACTGGGCAGCATTTAATCATGAGCATCAAGGATTTATGAAGGTGGAAGTCACTGTATTTAACGTTTACATGACACTGTCCTATTACCTTTACTGGAATCCTACCATATAGACCCTCCACTTTGATGGCTCTATCATAAATCCATTAAAAATGAGTACTTTGAGAGTTTGCCCTTTATAAAAATAATTCATAACTACCTACTAGAAGATACCCAAGAAAACAGTTGGCAGGAATCACATGTCAATATTGGAAGAGAAGAATTCAGACACATCAATTTCTAAGTCACAAGAGTTTCATTAACCTATTACACAAAGGTCCAATCTACTTTTAAAAGTTCATGTTTCAAAATGATATTTAAGCAC